CTGCAAATGTAGCACCTTTACATTGCTGGTTCACTAGTAACTAATAAATTATCGGAAAAAAAGTTTTCTGGTGCATAATGATACATGGTATCAAAAAATTTGCAATTTTCAAGTTATCATAAGGAACATAGTGTATGGATACGATGGCCAGATTAAAAAAAGTTTGGAGCCATGGAGCACACAGAAAAGAATAGATTTCATGATACTAAAAAGGCGGCAAATAACTCACAATCTTTTTCTTCTCCCCATTATCATCGCCCAAATCTTCGTTTGGAGTGCGTTTCTTGACAATTTTCTTCACTACCCTTACTTTCTTCACAGCAGGCATTGGTGGTAAAGCAAATACTCTTGTGACAGGTACAATCCATAGCGAATAGCTGGTAGATTCGGATACCTATATATTATTTCTTGGTTCCGATATTCTTAAATTCTTGTAGATCCTTTCTAACCGATTCTGGTGGTGAACTGATTTGCGATGATGCTTCCGTCGAATCCGGTGTATCTTCACGCCGGGTGGATATTACTGGTGAATTACAGCAAAGCAGATGATATGTCGGTTGACTCTGTAAAAAGTGGGTAAAACCATGTTTCATACTAATTCTACAATCATCACAAAACTGTCATAATAAGCAGGTTCCAGTGGTAACTAAATTTTCCCTTTGAAAACAAACTTTCTTGACTTTTACCAACCCATAATTGCATCAAGTAGCGTACCGTGACTCTAAGCCAGCTCTAATCGATATATTGATTTTTTGGTGCGCCATTGATTTTCCTATTTTAAGGCAAATTATCTTTCAGACTGTATGTTTGTACATGCGATAATTAACGTGACTTCCCATGTCCCGCATTTATTTATGCTAATTAGCAAAACTTTCGTACCCGCTCACTTTCGAATTTTTGCTTGGAAATGTCGATCATGATTGATAAGGTACAGCAGAACCTTCAAACTTTCCGTGCTCTCTTCAAACTCTGATCTCCATGGACTTTGGCTTACGACGTTTGAGCTGACTAATGCAAAAGCAAAAACTGATGACGTTAAGATTACATCAATAGAACATTCCAGAAAAAATGGCAATTTGCCG